AGCTGAGCCAGAGGCCCCAGGGCGTGGTGCCCCAGGGTCCCTAACGGAGGGTCTATCACAACCACACAGCAAGTCTCCCTGTGCATCAAGAGCACTTCTAGCTCTTGGACTTTGTAGACTAAGAATTTCCTGAATACACCAGGTAGTGTTTTGTCTCCTTATACAGTGACAAGATCTGATCCTTGAGTCCTCTTTGCACCGTCTTGTCAGTGCCTCATGGTCTATGCCAGTTTTTCTGATCTCGACATTGATCCAACTGGTGTCAAATGAAATTTTTGGCTCTCTTCTTGACTGTCTCCCTTTTTGTCAAGGCTGAAAATGTAGGGGCCACTCACGGGCCTGATGCCACTGTTGATTGGTGTGGAAGCTTTAAAGCCTCTCCATTTCCTTCCTGGTGCAACCAATATTAAAAATTCTTTCAACCACTATAAAAATCATTGCAACTACTATAAAAATCATTTTAAATATAACCCTATAACAAGCTGAGACTGGGAGAGGGGGGTTGGATTTTCTACAAGGATTACATGAAAACAGATGAAATGAAGCAAGAAATACAAATTTTTTTAAAAAGTTCTTGAGGAAAGAACTAGAAGGTGAATACATAGCTCAGAAAAGAAAGAGTAAATCTTACTCAAGAAATACACTCCTTGAAAACTAGAATAGCCCAAACAAATCAATGTCTTTATGAAACAGCAAGAAACATAAGACCAAAATCAAAAGCTTTTTTTTTTAAACAGAAGAAAATGTAAGCTATCTAATTCCAAAACCAACTGACCTAGAAAACAGGTTAAGGAAAGATAATCTAATTGTAATGCCCCCTCAGGGTTCACTCATCCAACTCACCCTGCCATTAGTAGCTTGGTTCTAAGGGTAATTCTGTGAGAAGCTATTTTCCTAAGCACTAGCTCACAAGTCTTCCCTTGTGTTTCCCCTTGACAATCAGACTCAGTTCTTTTGCAAAGGCATTTACTCAAATAGCATAGAAATAAGAGTAATTACAAAGCATTTTCCCGAAATCAGTCAGTGGTACACTCTCCCATAATTACACCCAAAGACCAAGCTGGGGACAAGTTGACACAAATTTAAAGTTCAAATAGTTACAAGGCACACATATATACAAGGCCAGGGCAACTTACAACTCTGGAACAGGAGCAGGTCCTTTTATCTCCCCAGAAGGTTCTTTTTTAAAAAATATGATTTATTTTTAATTCAATTTTATTTTCAATTCTAAATTCTCTCCCTTCTCCCACCATTCTCCCATCCATTGAAAAGGCAAGAAAAATCCACTGCAAATATGTAAAATCATGCAAAACAATTATTTTTGCATTAGCTATGTTCTCCCCCTTTGCCCAAAAAAAGCAAGGGAAAAAAAGAAATAGAAGAAAATATGTTTCAGTCTGCACTCAGTCCTTCATCTGGAGGTGGAGAGCATTGTTTCACCATGAGTCCTTTGGAATGATGGTTGGTCATCGTCTTGATCAGTTAGTAAGTCTTTCAGAGTTGATTGTCTTTACACTATTGCTGTTACTGTGTAAATTGCTCCCCTGGTTCTGCTTCACTTTGCATCAGTTCATACAAGTCTTCCCAGATATTTGAAACCATCCTCTTCATCAAATGACCAAACCTATCTCCAGAGGATCTGTGATAAAGCAAGTTACTTATATTGGACAGAGAGGTGATAGACAAGGTGCAGAGACATATTTCTGCACATGGCCACTGTGTAGATTCATATTACTTAGCTATGTTTATTTATTACAAGGGTTTCCCCCTCTTTTTTTTCTCTTGATTAAGTGTGGGAGGGGTCAGAGAGGGCTGGGGTTAGCAATAATGATGTAAAAAAAATGAGGCATTGAAAGTTTTTTAAAATGCATAGAAGAGAACAGAAAGGAAATTCATAAGAAAGAACAAGTTTTGAAAGTATATAATTTTTTAAAGCAAGTAATTTGAAATGGAAATTCATAGTTTTGTATAGAATTTTCTTTTACGTGATCTGTTGTGTAAATGGAAATATTCTGTGTTTTTTAATTTTTTTAAAATTTCTATCAGTCATTCATACCTTAGCGTGAATTAGTTCAATCAGACTGCCTTCCTTTTGTTGTTTAATCCAAGGAACTGGATTGAGGAAATGGTAGTTTTCACCATAGGAGAGGGAAGTTAAGTAATTTTAGAGTACATAACCTTTTACTTAGGGAGGTGGGCAAGAAAGGCTACCTTCCTGTAGTTTTCATAGCTTCTCATTGGACTAGATGATTTCTGAGGTCTAGCCTTCTAGCCCAAGATCTGTTGTCTTCTAATTCCCAGTATTCTTAGACTAGTAGCACTAGTACTAGTAGTCTACCTACTTATTTTAATACTTTAAAAGATTTAGGCTTTCATAATGGGGGAAGGGGAAATCCCTGAAATGGCAGGGAAAGGCAATCCCACTATGACTTAGATAGTCTTCATGGGCTGCCCTACCCGAAAAAAAAATTCACCCAGTAAGTAGCCTTTTGATGAACCTGGGTAGGTTGGTATTCTGCCAGACTATTGACAAACTCACATCAAAGCCTTTCCATCTCAATAAGCCCTCTCCAAACTTGTATTCTGCTGGTCTGACCTTTGAGAAGCCAGGGTCACCTTCATGCTGCATTAGGCATCTGAGTAGAACCTTAGTTGAGAAGTTCACCTGTATCACGGGTTAAACAGGCTTTTGTGGGCTGTCCTGGAACCTACCTACCTTTTATAATATAGTTTCCTTGGAAAAGTGCCAAACAACTGATTTACAAATTAACTTTCAAAACATAACCCATTAGTAAGCTGGGGACAGGCTGTACCCAGATCTCCTGCCAAAGATTACCTAGAGTGCCCATGAAAGACAAAAACCTGGCCTAAAGGGATAATGGGGCTGACCAAGAGAATCACTGCTAATATTATGTGAGAAAAATATTTAAATTAGCTCCAGCACTTAATGTATAACCTTGGGCAAGTCACCAAAAATCACTGGACTTCAGTAAAATGAAGATGATTGCTTGTTTTACCTTCCTTCTAGAGGTGGTTATGAAGAAAGAGCTTTGTAAATCTTAAAGCACTATATGAAGGTTAGCCATCATTTTTCTTATTAATAAAACACTTTCTAAATATGCGTTCTTTTTAATATTATAACTGCTGTTTCTAAATCTCTGTTTTCACCTTTGTGGAGACCTTGGGATGTCTTTCACAGAAGGAGCAGAATTTGTGAGACATATCACTGGAAAGTAAAACTGTCTGATTCTCAAAGACAAAGAGAAGAAAGTGTAAGCTGTCATGCCTGGATTGCACTTTGGGGCAGGAAGCCATGTAATAGAAAAGAGAAACACTATCTGTATTCTGCAGCATACTCTTTTTGCTTAAGGTCTTCCTTCTGCTGCCATTGTGATTATGAATTTCATGAGGGAAAGAGCAGTTGGTGACTAGGGAGCAAATGCAGAGGTGTACCATGACCAGAACTGGCCAGGAGCCAGCACATGGCACCATGAGGGCAAGGCAACTGGGAGCCAGCTCGAAAGAGAAAACATCCAGAGTTATTGAGACTCTTGGTTCCTGTGAATCTCACTGGACTGGTGAGCTAGAGAAGCACATTTTCCTATCAGTCTTTGAGTCCGATGAGTGAATGGAAAGCCTTTCTTTCATTCAGTCTTCCATGAATCATTACAGAGTTTGGGTGGGTTTCCCCATAGCTGTACCCTAAGGTCTTGGAGGGCAATAAGGAGAACATTTGGAGATGGTTAAAGGCAAATGTCTTTAACAGGAGCATTTAGACTGGTTTTTATTGGTTTGTTTTATTTTATATACTATAAGCCAGTGACATCAAACTCAAATAGAAATGGATATTGATTTAGAAAAACACAAATTAACATTATCTATGTTGTAACTATTTTTATTTATTTTGTTAAATATTTACTAATTATATTTTAATCTGATTTAGGCCCTATTCAGGAGTTTTATATGCTGCAGAGGGCCCACAGACGCTGAATTTGACATCTCTGTGATAAACTATGTGATGACAACACACTAGGTCTCTGAATCAATGAAAACAGCAGGCATTAAGACAGCAAAACACAAATGGACTGGGGACTCATGAGCCAGATAGAAATAACATACATATTTTAAGATTTTGAGCAATATCCCATTTCATCCCTGAGAATAGGCATCTGAACCTGGGGTCCATGGATAGATTTCAAGGGTCCATGAACTTGGATGGGAAAAAAAATTACATGTTGATTT